ATCTTTCAATGCAGTTTGAAAAAGTTTAATAGATGTTTTCCTAAATATGACAATAATCCTAAAATTCTACACGACATTCCTAGTAAAGAGCTATAAAGCAAAAAGAAACTTCTATAAACTATCATCATCATCATTTTATTTACTTATTTTTGGTACTGAGGACTGAACACAAGGATAGTCTGTCACTGAACTACATTCCCAGTCCTTTTATTTTTTATTTTGAGACAATCATCATTTTATTTACTTATTTTTGGTACTAGGGATTGAACGCAAGGACACTTTGCCACTGAACTACATCCCTAGCCTTTTTTTTTTTTTTTTGAGACAAGGTCTTGTTAAACCTCTGAGGGTCTCATTAAGTTGTAAGGCCAGCCTCAAATTTGTCATCCTCCTGTTTCAGTCTCCCAAATCATCAGGATTACAGGCATGCACCACCATATCCAGCTACCATTAATTTTTAAAAATGATCAACAATGCCAGAGGAAAACTATATTTTAATTCACTGTACAGAATATGAAATTACTAAGTTGTTAATAATTGAAGAGATAAATAAGGAATTTGATGATCAAAAAATATGAAATGATTCAAGTATATAAGCTAATATAAATGTTTGGGTATGGATTTTGTGATAATTGTGGCAATTGTCAGCTCTTTACAAATGTGTAACTTGTTATTCTTTTCTGGTTCTAAACACATATTTTTAGTGAGTCTTCAGTGTTGTATTAGAATTTTTATTGAACTCTGTTCAAATCAATGTCACCTAAATACTCAATAAAAAATATGAAGGACTGAAATTTTAAGAATCAGACTTTTTCTAAGTCCAAACTTAAGTAGAAATAGTAGGATAGTTACATTGGCTTCTTCTCAGCATAATCTCTGCAATACAAAACGAGGCCAGCCAGGTCACAGGTACTTGTTCTAAATCACTGGTTTCTCCATTTCTCTTTGACTTGCTGAGTTTTAGGAGGTAAGTTGATCTGTTCATACAATGAAATATTATTTACTAAACAGTGGAAAGAAGCCAAGAACATCTGTGTCCAAGGAGCCTGCAGACCTACCTGGAAAAGAAAATATGACTTCTGAAATAAAGGAAGTGAGAGATACACATGTTAAGAGAGAAGCAGAGTAGCACAGGAATCTCGAGGAGAGGAACACGACTGCCAACAATCAAGAGACTCTCCAGAGGTTGACAGGCTTGACTCATTCATCTTCCATCTTGTTACACAAATTATTTAAGGGCACACCAGCACCCGTCAATATAACAATCTCTGACCAGGGGGCCATGGAAGGCACCTGTTGACACACAAAAGGAATATGGGTGCTGTCAGAAATAACCTGGCCAAGCCTATATTACACAATGCCTTTAAAGGGATTTAAGCTCTCCAGACTTATATTTCATTTTGATTTTCTTGCTTATCTGTACCTACAGTTTTATGTAATAGGGCAGACTGCCACACAGATTACCAAGTAGTCTGAGGCAGATGTTTTTAGAAAAACAAAATACAGAGTTTGTTTGAATTTGTCAGTTTTAAGGCATGGAATAATTTTTTAAAAAATGAAATTATGGCAAAACTATTCATCACATAACCTGATGTTCCTGAACTTCAGCTGATTAAAGCCTCAGGGAATTCCTGTGTTTCCAGATATCTCTTATCTTGGAACTACCTCTCCTTTCACAAGCCAGTCCCTTGAGAGGCTAGAAAAACAAAACAGGGAATTGGGGGTTGAGGATGCCGACCTCATCACTGACTTGCCTGTACACACTGATTTAAGTTGGAACACTGTGCCCAACCTGAGCCTAACCATGCTCACAGGGGATGGGGTCAGGCTTGTTCAGGTCTGGAGGGCTGGCAAGCGAGTGTCTGGGCTATTTTAAAGAGTGCTATGGAGTCTTCAGGGAAAACTGATCATGCTAAAGGAGAGAAAGCCCCAAGGGTGGGGCCCAATCCTCAGACTTAAGGATTTTGAAGGCAGTGTAGTGTCTACTGCTTGGGTCACCCTCCCAAGGGTGAAGGAGTGGTAATAAAGAGCAGGTGAACCTAGGAGGCATTTTACATAAAACTAGGAGAGACAGGAAAGCTGAAGAGAATATAGCTTCGTGGCAAATGTAATCAGAGCATCACTTTTGGAGGGTGAGATCGAAGCCTGCCATAGCACAGGACCAAACCACCTTGTCAGGACCTCAGATTGGCACAGGGAAGCAGGAGAGCCCCCAGGGTACCCTAGACTTCACACTGAAGGCACAAACCACAGAGGGGTCAATAGATTTGTCTACTTAAAATTTAGAAAACTTGTATTTAAAAAATCAAACCCATAAATAAGATGAAAAGTGAAAACTTGAGAACAATGTCTATATCATGTGATCAGCCAAAGATTATGTCATTTTTACATACAAAGCTATGGTAAATCAATAAGGAGATAATTATTACTACCACCACCCAAAAAGGGAAAGAGCACAACCACATAGTTCATCAGAGAAAAAATATAATTGTCCAATATACATTTTTTTTTCAATTAGGCAGCCACCCTAGAAATCAAAGAAGTGCAGCTATCTTACATTACAAGGCTTCAGTTTTAGAATATACTTTATGGTAGTTTTACCAATGTGCATTTGAACCATCTATCAGTGTATATTTGAGCTTTTGGGATGAGACTGGATTAAAACTCCAGTCACCTACCTAGTGACTGGGGATATTGGATAAATTATTTAACATCTATAGACCTCACAAACAGAGATATGAAAAATTGTGGTATATATATGTGTAATAAGAATTGTAATGCAAAAAAAATGAGTACATGTATAAAGACATGAATTGGTGTGAACATACTTTATACAAAGATATGAAAAATTGTGCTCTATATGTGTAATAAGAATTGTAATACATTCCGCTGTTGTGTATTTAAAAAATAAAATCAATAAAAAATGAGAAAATTGAAAAAAAAAATATCTACAGACCTCAGTATTTTCCCTGGTAAAACAGAGATAACAGTACCTATATCACATGTTGTGATACATGTATACATTGTATAATATTTAAATCAGGTTAAACATTTATCTCCTCAAGCATTTATCACTTCTTTATGGTAAAAACATTCAAAATCCTTTCTCTTAGCAAGATACATTGTCAATAAACCTAATATCTAATATATTCATGTTTGAGTATGATTATATACAGAGAGTTTTGTGTTAAAGTGATTCAAATAAAAGACAAAAATATTTGGTCAAGTTTGTTAGCCTTCTATTAGTGTAATAAAATACCTGAGATAATCCACTTTGAAAAACACATATTCTGGATCACAGTTGTGGAGGTTCCAGTCCATAATCAGTCAGCTGGCGCAGTTGCTTTCTGGTGTCAAGGCAGTGCACGTGGCAGGGTGCACGTGGCAGAGGAAGCTCATTCACCTCATGGCTGGTAAGGGAAAGGAAAAGAGGGAGAGGCTGGGGTATCAACATCTCCTTCAAGAGTATGTCCCTAGTGGCCTAATTTCCTCCCACTATGCCCCACTTTTAAAGTCTCTTGCATAGCACCATGGACTGGGGACTAAGGCTTTAAACTTGGGATCTTGGGGGACATTTAAGATCCAAACTATAGTGGCAAGTAATTATGTTAATACATTTAAGATGGTAATGATTACCATGAAACATTTACTACACATTTACAAATATACTTCTCAATGTAAAAACTCTAACAAGTAATTGTAGCAACAAAAGTCACCCTAAACTCTCAAACAAGAGAAAGGAAGCCTTTTGAATTTATATTGGTGGTCACTTTCTCATAGAACAGTGAGTGCAGTCATAGATTGTATTTAAAAATGGAAAACAATGGAGAAAGAATTTGAAAGAGATAGAAATCACTGCATTTATGCACACTGTAGCCTTTAGGCATCAAACAATATGCTTTCAGTTTTATACCACAGAAAATAAAGAGAGAAAAATAAAAAAGAGAAGGGAAAGAATTGCAGGAATAAATGGAGAAAAAAATTTCCAAGGGACAGAGAAACCAGAGAGAGAAAAACTGAATTTAAAAAGGAGATTGAAGGACACATGCACATTGGACATGACCCTGTGCCCCCGAAAAGAAGAAAGAGAAAGGAGGACAGAGATGAGCACATGGTATACTCACAGTACAAAAATATCCATGGAAACCAAATATTTAAAGAGAGAGAGAGGAGAGAGAGAGAGAGAGAGAGAGAGAGAGAGAGAGAGAGAGAGAGAGAGAGAGAGAGAGAGAAACACATTTGCAAGAAGAAAGACACCTCTCTGTGACCTTTCTGAACAGAGCTGTTAAAGATGATCAGAAGTATTATACTTTTGCAGCTATTGACATACACAGAACCACAGCATCTCTGTACTGGTCACCACATGCTGGGTGAAGTTCATCCACAGGCTAGCTGTCCACACCTATGCTCCACAATTAAAAACAGTACAACTCTGTTGTCTCCTACAAAATGATGCTAGAAATAATAAATAATGCAGTTTTTTGACACTTCACATATAGAGAAACCATAAACCACTTTTTCCTTTGTGCTGACAGAAAGGCATTCTAAAACTGGCACAGGGATATTTTAGTCTAAATAAGTCTTATAATTGTAATTCTCACTTGAAATATGCAGTCACTTTAATCTTCTACATACAAAAACCTTAATTTTAATTGTAACAGAGTGTGAATCCTTTTATAACCTGGATTTTTGAAAGGTGTCACTCTTTAGATTTTGAAAACCTAATATATCATTATATATATTAGGTTTTCAAAAATATTTTAAAAAATTTTATACAATACTAGAAAACTTATCCTCTTCCACCTCTAGTCTAACAGAGCAATCAGCCAATAGTTCTGCTATAGTAGTTCTTTTATGTATAAAATAATCACATTCAAGTCTTCCCATGGCATAGTAAACTTTATAATTTCCTTCAAAAATCAATATAGAGAAATCACTTATAGAGCCCTTTGATTATAAATCAACTCCAAGACATTGTTTGGTAATGAGATGCTTTATTAAACTTGATACATTTACTATATAAGAACTCTGTGAAAAAAAAATGGGGTATCAAATTATTTTGACTGTGGATCTCTGTATTATGAAGTCTGTTCCCACACTATATCATCTCGCTATGTCATGTGATTATAGGCATACAGATGGCTAAGGGCAGTAGTAGCCTTTCCCTGCAAGAATACACAAATCTTGTCTTCCAGCTGACTTGCATGGTATTCCAAGTCCTCCAGAATAATGAGAAGCCCCATCCCCATCTCCATTCAGTGTCCTGTCCAGGGTTGAGCTTTACATAGCACCTGGGCCAGCTCCACATCTATGCTGAACATGCGGTACACATAGGGTAGGCCTTGGGAGGCATCTTCCTCTCAGCCACACAACTCTGAGTGGACTATTCTGAAACTCCTTGGAGAGCTGAAACTTCTGGAAAAAAGAAAGAGAGGGAAAGTAAAGTCTCACTGATGACACAAAAACAAAAAATAACTAAGAAGTCAGAAAATGACTACTTTTGCAAAATGTTCTTTGGTATAACCCAAATTTAACAGTGTTGCTATTCCTGATTTATCACTTGTTAAGGCCACCCATTCTCTTACCAGGCACAGGAGTCTCTGCAATGAGGTGCCTGTGGTTGGTAAACAACTCCGTGGAGTCTTGTTCTACTGATCTCTCCTCTAGGTCTGATTCTGGAATTGGAGTACAGCCACCTAGGTAAAAAACACAAATGATATTTTAAGCAATGTGTAAGAAAATCTGCCTCTCCACACAGCGACCAGAGCTTAGGAACGCACCAAGCATAAAGGTAATAAATGATGTGACAACAATCTTGAGGGATGGAGCAAAAAGAATAATCTTCAATGTTACTCTGGTGAAAATACTGGGAGTGAGTTATTGCCCCCAAAGACATGTTACAGTGCTTATGACTTGGCAACAGTAGCAACAGTGTTGTCTTCAAATGTACCCTTTTTTTGAAGTCAGAGAAGACAAAACATATAGCATATGTGATATCCATAGTATAACAGTCTCTCAGCAGGAAGTCCCTTTAATACCAGAGCATAGGAAACTATGAATGCACATGGACCAGAGAAGGGATCCTCCTTGGGCCAGGGAAAGTTGCAGGTATCCCAAGACAGTGATTTCTGTGGAATTTGACTCTCTCCCTGAATCCCAACACCTCACAGCATAGACGCCAACACTTCACAACTCAACAGCAAAGCTGTGAACTGCATGTGGGAGATTTTGATTCTAAGGTGACTTGAGGATGAGCTGGCATCATGGAGCTTTTTAAAGATTGGATATAAGTCATCTGACTTTATCCACCAAAATCTTGTATGGGAAACTCAGAATCATGTGAGAATCTCCCGACGATGTCTGCAACTTGATCTGACTAACGTGCCCTCATTTCCTGGAAGTGAGCTAACACTTCACCCTACCCGTTTCACTCCAAAGCCATTCTTCTTGTTAATGAAGTGTGATTTCTTTTTCATAGGCTACTCACACACTGAGTCCAAAGCCTCAACGCTCAGGTTGGGTTTTATGCTTGAGAAGGTTTATGAAGCTCATGACATTCTGAGGAAAGACAGGGTGTCGGCAGCACTGATTGGAAAACCACATCACTCAGAGGAGAGGGAAGTGGCAAGATCCTGGGTCTGAAGGAAAATACATCTTACCACCCAGCCCTCTGCATTGCCTCTGAAAAAGAAACTGATGTCGAGAGAAACTAAAGAGAAAGGTGTTGCCACACTCATAAAGTGAGAATCAGTGGTAGCCCTAGAGGTGCCCAAATAGGAAACATTGGAATCATCCATCAACATAATAGCTCTCACCTAGATCTGTCTGCAAATGACAAGACCCTTCCTGGAAGGAGAACCAGGGTAATTTTTTAATCTCTTTTGCAATGGCAAGTCTTTAGTCAGGGCACAAGAACTATTGCTATTAAGCAGTTGCTAAGTGCTTGAGACCCTGCCTACATATGTTATACCATGGCACAAATAGTATTCTGCCAAGGTCACATAATTCTGTAGTGCTGAGAAGCCCAAGAAACAGCCCCTTTCTTTTTCTCCTTTACACTCAGCCAACTGAGTGGAAAGGAAAGGGGGTGAGATTGGAAAAAGGGGCTGGGGGCACCTGTAAGGTAATGACAGGGAGGAGAGGAAAGAAGGAATGTGCTTCCTGATGAACAGAGCCCTAATCCCAAGGGAAAAAGGAAGAAGAAGGACCTGTTTCTCATTTCAGACTCACCAATCAGATCAAGTCACTTCTCCTAGGGACAGAGGGAGGCCAGGCATGCCATTGTCATGCAGCTACCTTCACACACAAGTAATCTTCAGGAGTGAAATGGGAAGGAGTGCACAGAGCAGTTAGCAATGTCCACCTCTGACTCGAGCTGACTCAATATTGGGGCAAAACAAAAGTATGAAAACTTAAAGAGCAACTCCTAGTTCTTTATCACAGCGGGCACAAAAAGAAAAGTCAGTTGCTGTAGACAGAGAATGGGTGGCCTTAACAACTAATGTAAATTCCTCTTCACTGTCCTGAGTACAGAGGGATGACAAGCTGCCCTGCTGAATGCTGTCTACTCTGCAGGTGCTGTATTGGGACCCAACTGTTGCACCTTCTCAGATTCCTTTAGCACATCCCACTTCAGCCAATGCCCACTGCAGGGCCCACCAGTCACCTCCCCTAACAATGAGACCCCCTTTCTTTGAATGCCTCAGGCAGGTGGACTGCCCATCATAGATCAAGAATCCCTGCCATTTCTAGCATGACAGGAACAATGTGGTGTGAGCTCTGGCCTCCTGGCCAATGGGAAATTGGAGAACAGAAGATGCTGCGCAGACAGATTGCCTCCTGCCTCTCTCTCCAGGACCTCAGCTCTTTGCAGATCTCCAGGAAGGTGCTGTGTGCTGAGTGGGTATACCTGCTCAGTCTCTTCCTGGCTCTCTGGGAGAAGTGGTCATCTGTGAGCTTGCACCACTTGGCATGACCTCACATATTTCCTTGTTCACTTTCCTTTGTGCTTCACAAATAAATTGACATCACTTTAATCCTTGCCTCAGGCCCTGCTTTCTTGTTCAAAAAGAAAAAATTCTTTAAAAATTCTTAAAGCCAGGCCTTCAAGATTAAATTTGGAAGCTAGACTGGCCACTCATTATTCTGCAAGAATAAGCTGGCTCCACAGCTGGTGCTGAACAGGATGGCAACCACCTCTAGTTGTAAACAAAGCTTTCATCCATAGTTAACTGGGATGATGTGCACGCAGGGGTCAAGACATTGGGAGATCAAATTATAGTGGCATGGAAATATTTATAATTATAAAGACTTCAGAGTAGTGTGACTGCTCCTGATGACCAGATACCTTGCAAACAGAAAATGCAGGCTCACTGCAGCTAAAAGGCAACAGAAAGCAAATTCAGAAAGTCAGAAGGTTTCTTGGGCCTTGCTAGTGTGAGATCATCACACCAGTAGCAGAGGGATCACCTGGGAACACGTTAGAAATGAAGAATTGCAGGCCTCACTCCACACATTCTGGATTCAAATCTGCTGAAAAGGAGTGATGAGTATATCCAATGAGATTTTTTGCTAAGAAAAAGAAAATGTGTAAGTGTGTGTGTGTAAAAAGAAATATATATATATGTATATATTTGCTAAAAATTTAAGAGTAAGTGATTAAAGAATAGAAATAAAACATAAAACTTCCAAACTAACAGAGACCCTCTGAAGCCAATCTGTGGAAGCATAGCTTGGGTCCCACGGACACCAGATGAAGTGCCCTTGGCTTGGAGCCCACCCCATAAAAGGAAAAGGGGAAGAAAACCCTCAGCTGGATGAGATCATCAAAACACAAATGGTGTGTGGACACACAGGAGGAGCCAACCGGCAGGTACGGCCAGGATCTGGGACCTTCATGACCTGGAAATAAGGCAAGGGGCCTTCAGGAGGGCAAGGGGCTCAGAGTCCTGGGGTCCTACTGTGTGCTGGGCACTCTGCTGTGCATTTGTAACGTTGATTCAATCGATCCTCAGACAACCCTGCCAGAACAGACTCCCTGCCCTCATTTTATAACTGCAAACATATTGATAGTAATTTGCTTTTCTTCTCTTGTCCTTCCACCATCATCTCTTCCCCTCAAGTTTCCCCAGGCCCCTTTGTGCTTTCTTGCCTCAGGGCAGTTTGGAATGGGACTGGGTAAAGAGTAGCCTCGAAATACAGATGGTCCCAAGTTGTGATGATTCAACTTTATGATGGTGCAAAAGTAATTCTGTAGAAACTATACTTGGAATTTTGAGTTTGGACCTTTTCTCAGGCTGGTGCCATACAGGCAAATCCCTCCACTCAATGCTGGGCATGGCAATGAGTCGCTGTTCCCAGTCAGTCCCACAGTAGTCAGGAGAAATAATGGACCTGAGATAGTGCACATGCTGCTCAGCTGTGAGGTGAGGTGGGTTGGACAGATTAAGCGCATTTTCCATTGATATTTTCAATTTACAATGGGCTTGCTAGGATATAACCCCATCGTAGGTCATCTGTTTCTTTACTCTCTGGCCTTGATTTTCTGCATCCTGGTCTCACTGAAGAGATGGAACTGTGGTAATCTGGTAGGGGTAGAAGGGGCAGAGCTCAAAGGGTGAGAGGTGGCTGGGACCTCAGCTGGCAGCAGTTCAGGTCTCCAAGCTGATGAGTCATGGAGGATGGAGGCATGGGACACTGGAAGGGCTGAGCCTCAGGAACCCCATCCTCAGCCACAGAAAGCCTTGAGTTGAAGATTGCCGAGGGTTTCGGCAAAAACATTGTTGGCAGTTACTGTGACCTCACTTTATGAGCCCAAAATATAAGACTGCCTGGACAGCGATGGGGTGGGGCAGGTGGGCCCTAATAATTGAGACCGAATTTTCCACATTCTTGCTATTAAAGAAAATATAATTTTGACATTTCTTGCATCTCTGACTTGAACTGCAGACCATCAGCCTTCTTGAAAGTTTCAACATATTAAATGAATTTGAGAGATTATGTTACCTGCCAAAGGTCACACAGCAAATCTATATAAAACTGCAGCTTGGCTCTCTGTACTCTAACAATACATCTCAAAAGGACCAACTTTTCAAGTTTCCTATCTATCAAAACTAGTACTTCTGTAAAATATAGTTAATAATGAATCACAGGAATTACCAGAAAAATGAAATAATAACGTATCACCTGTCATCTTTTAGTATTCAATAGTCATAACAGCCCCCTTTATCAATCATTACAAAAGTTTCTAAATATTCTCAATTGCACGTAACAAATGTTTGCAGCCAGAGGCCAGTCTTTGGGTAAGTGGCACTTAATTATAAGATATGGTCTACTTTCATTAATATGATATGTGTACCTGAGATTTAAAAATAATGATACATCAAACTTTTAATTATCTAAGGTTCAAATAGCTAGTAAACTCCTGGCAACAAAAGGGGCTCCTTAGATTTATCCACATCTCTTCTACTCAAGTATCTAGAGCAGTCTGGTTTCGCTGTCCCCACCACCACAGGATGCCTAGGCTCCCCCTTCACAGTACTGCTGCAACTGTTACAGAGCTGGGGCCTTCTGTGAAGCTGAGGCAGTGTGGACACCCCTTCCTCCAAACCCTTATTCTTAGAATCAGGCCAAAGATTTCAGACATATTGCTTAGAGTAACAGACATAAATTTATTAAAAGGGATAGGAAAGTGGAA